GGATCTGCTCTGAGAGTGGAGCCGACAGGGCAAGTATTGGATGTGGGAGGCGAGGGAAAGAGGACACAAAGGGTGATAGAATCTGAGGTGGCCTCTCAGATAGCAGCCGAGAGTGACTCCCCACCCCCACCCCGGCCAACAGCCAGCAAGGAAATATACACTTCAGACCGGCAACCACCAGGACCTGAACTTGGTGGACCACCTGAACCACTCTGAGCCTCCACAAAGGAACAACACCCAGCTGACAGCTGGATTTCAGCCCAGAAAGACCCCGAGTAGAGACCCTGGCTATGCCTGGACTTCTGATCTACAGAAACCGTAAGGTTGTGGTTTTCAGTCACTACATTTGTGATAATGTTTACTCAGCAATGGATAACTGATACAAGCATCCTAGAATCCTATAGTGTCAGAGCTAAGAGGGTCCTTAAATCCAACCTCCTCATGTACAGATGGGGAAACTGAGGCCCAGAGAGCAGCTAGGACTTGAACGCTGGTTCTTACAGAGAGACACCATCAGGCAGAAGCTGCCCCAGCCGTAGAGGCCCCAGCAGGCCCAGCCTCTCATCTCCTAGGAGGCTGCAGTATGAACCCCTCTGCCAACACCTCCACCATCGGGGCCCTGGCCCCCCAGAGAGCCGGCTTCTGGCCACCCACTGAATACCCTGAGCTCCTGGGGCAGCAAGCTCAGGCAGGCTCCCTGCTGGGCCAAGCCAGGTGGCCAGGAGGTAGAGTTCTCACCCCCACAGCAGAACAGGTCCCGAGGGTGCAGGAGCCAGGCCCAAATCTGGGACCCCAGCTGAGAAGGACAAAGCACAGGCTTAGGTCAGAGGGCCTGTGGTTAGGATCCCAGCTGTGCTACTCACCAGCTGCAGGACTCTGGTCAAGGGATGCCCCTTTGCTGAGCTGCAGTGTCCAGTCCGTAAACTGGGAGCAAGAAGGCCATCCTCCAGATAGTCAGTGAGCTAAGGTGCGTGAAACTCTTGGTAGGAGCACCATAAATGCACAAGTGCATGGCCCCAAACTCTACCTTCTTATGGGCCTTGGTTTCCCCATCTTCGAAATGATCTGTGGCCTAGATGTGTTTGGGAGGGCCCTTGTAGCTCTAACAGTTGGCCATTTGGGGATTCAAATTCTGGCTCTGCCTCTAACTAGCCGTGACCTTGGATTAATCACTTAAGCCCTCTGAGCCCCAGTCTTCTCACCTGTAAGATGGAGCTATTAGTCATTCCCACCATTACATGAGATGCGGGTCAGAGACCTAGTTGAGCACCTCAAGAAACTGTCAGCTGGTTTTATCATCATCATCATCATCATCATCATCATCATCATCATCATCATCATCATTCCGAGTGCCTGCTGGAAGGGGCAACAGGCGAGAGACTCCAGGGCGAGGGAAGTTTAGTTTCCTTGGAGACAAACATTTGTGGGCTGGGCCAGGCCTGCATGTATTTCTGGTCAAACAAAACTAGTTCTTTCCCCCCAACTCTCTGGCCCTGCACCGTCTAAAACCAGGCCCCAAGTATCACGGTGCTTCTACACGCTAAGCCCACAGGCAGGTTTTGGGAAATAAAAATGTGCATTCATTTCTGTTTGCAGTTCTGGGAACTACCTCCTATTTTTCTCTAGAGCGATGGCAATAGCTTCGTGCAAATGCCTGGAGGTGGGAAATGTGTGTCATAGGCACAAACGGTGTCCCCACTGGCCACGTTTGAGCTGTGCCTGCTATCCTCTGTGCACAACGGACTCGCTGGTGGTAACAGACACCTGACTGCGGGCCGGGCAGCCAGAGTCTCTCCTGGGAAGTTGACACCTGAATGGAGGGCGCACAGGCAGAGGGTGGTTGGAGATGTGTCATCCCTGGCCAGGACCCTAGAGAGGACAGCCACAGGCTCTGCCACCGAGGCCCCTACACATGCCTGAGTCCTCATACTGGGGCTTTGTTCTTTCCCCACCCGGGGGACCCCTTCCCATAAATCCACTGCTCACCTTCTTGGTTAGTCACTTTCTGGTGTTTGTCACCCCATTCCCCTTGGCCGATGTGGTGACTGGAGGGGACAGAGCCTTGTTGGGGGTTGAGGGCAGACTATGGGATGGAGCAGTGACCCCTCTGGTCCGTGCAGGCAGTTTTGGGGTGCTTCTGTGCAGAAAGAGCACTGGAATCAGTCTCGTTCTGCACATGTGACTTTAGGTAAATCACTTAGCCTCCCTGTGTGGTCCAGTGGGATGGAACCAGGGGCAGGGAGGACCTCCATGAGCAGGTGGGGAAACTGAGGACCAGAGAGAGGGAGGGCTTTATTTAAAGCCACATAGCAGGTTTGGGACAGACCCTGGAGAGCTCCTGAGTCTCCCAGACCCCGGCCCTGAGGCGGAGCTGTTCCTGGAGTAGGCAGGAGTAGTCCATAATTACTAGCAGAACCTGTTTCCCCCAGATGAACCTCAGGTCCACCAGCAGATCACAGATCACAAATTCCATTCCCAATTAATGGTCCCATTTGGTTCTGCAATAGTATCAACATCCCATTCAAGCAAACTGATTCCAGAGATTGACAGGGCCTTGTCCAAGGTCACAGCACAAGGTCATGGCGGAATGAGTCTGAGCCAGATCTGAAACGCCCAAGCTTTTTGCTCCAAATCAGTGTTTTCCAAGCTGATATAGGGGGAAATATCGGGGTGGTGGTTAATGAGTTCTCCAGAGGGATTTTGGTGATAACCCTAGAAAAGTAACTCAAGCATCTCATGCGTCCTCTACATGACCACAGCTGAGTCCTACCTGAGATTGTATTTGGGCTGGCAATCACACTGGCACCAAGGAATAACATTTACTGAGCACTAACTAGGGGCCAGGCACTGTGCTTTGCACTTTTCACGGAGTATTCATTTACCCCTCACAACAACTCTGTAAGATAGGGACTATTATCCTCCCCGTTTCACAGACCAGGAAGTTGAGGCACAGAGAGGTGAAGTAATTTGCAACCAGGTCAACAGCGAGCAAGGGGTGCAGCCAGGTTTTGAACCCGGGGCTGACCCCAGAGCCTGTGATCTTGACCACTGTCACCAGCTCTGAGGGATGAGGCAGGGGTGGCTTTGAAATGTAAAGATGAATTCCTGCTAAGTGAAGGCCAGGTGATGCAGAGGTCACTGTGGGTGAAACAGAGCCAAGTGGTGGGAGAATAATGTCATTAGCACACAGAGTTGGGCAGAAGTGTGTGACCAACCGACAGAAATGGCAGCATGACTGAATGTCCCACATTCACTCTGTTAGTTGCAATTCAGGCTTAGCAAAGCAACAGCATCCCTATCACTGAATTAATGTTGTTACATTGATGCCGTGCCTCGGCAGTTAGGGTCATAGGCTTAAGAGTTATGGCTTTTGAGGTCAAATCCATCTTCCTCCTTGCTTGGTCCACAGACCATGGGCAAGTCACTGATTTCTCTGAAGTTCATTTTTTCTCATCTTTAAATGGAATTCTAATAGCACCTGAAAGGCTGCCAGTTGCCTATGGAATTCCCTTCTCTCCTCTTTCTTTGTTGACCAACCTCTGATTTTATTCCAGTTGTGATGTACACAGAAGACTACATTCTCAACCTCTCTTGCAGCTACTGGTGGCCAATGAGAAGAAGTTGTTAGGTGAGATTTCTGGGAAATATCCTTGGAAGACACTGATACAGCTGGGATGAAAGCAGAGTTTCCCTTCTTTCTCCTTCTTCCTATGTGGAACTCAGGCATTATGGCTGGAGCTCCAGCAGCCATTTTGGGTCAAGAATTGATCTTGAGGATGAAGCCATAAGATAAGAATGAAGCAACACAAAACTAGTGGGAATGTGAAATGTTGATAATACCATAGAGACTGCACCAGCCCTGGCCTGGATTGATCTTTTTTTAAATACACTTTTAATTTTTCTTACAACAGCTTTTGATTCACAGAATTATTGCAAAGATAGTACAAAGAATTTCTATATAGACCACATCCAGTTTCCTCTATTATTAACATCTTATATTGGTATGGTACACTTGTCACAATTAACAAACCAATACTGTTACGTTATTATTAACTAAAAATAATCCGTACTTCATTCAGATTTCCTCAGGTTTTCCTAACTGTCCTTTTTCCGTTTTAGGATCCCATCCAAGATACCAAATTACATTTAGTTGTCATGTTTTCTTAGGCTTCTCTTGACTGTGACAGTTTCTCAGATTTTTTGTTTTTGTTTTTAATGACCTAAACAGTTTTGAGGAGTACTTGTCAGGTATGTTGTGCCTGATTTGTCTGAAGATTTTATAATTAGACCAGGGGAATGTGTTTTGGGAGGAAGACCACTGAGATAAAGTGGCTGTTCTCACAGTCTCTCAAGGGTAGATACTGCCAACACGACTTATACATATGGATCTGAACTTTGATCACTGTCAGATTCTCTAAAGTTATTCTTTTTTCTCTCTTTCTGTGCTGTGCTCTTTGGAATTAGGTCACTATGTGCAGCACATAAGGCGTGGGGTTATGGCTTAAGGCGTGGGGACTTAAGGCGTGGGGACTTATTTTCCCTTCCTTAAGGGTGGAACATCTTATGTAAATTACTTGGAGCTCTTCTGCACAAGAGATTTATTTCTTCTGTTTATATCTATCTATCTATCTATCTATCTATCTATCTATCTGTCTATCTATCTATCATCTATCTTTCTATCTACCCATCCATCCGTCCATCCATCCATCCATCCACTAATTTACTCAATCATTTATTTGATTTGATAAATATCACATTTTAATATATCCATATTCCAGAATGGACTCATGAATATTTATTTTATTCTTTGGGTTATAACTCAATACAGCTCTATGTTTTCACTCAAGTTGTTCCAACTTTGGTCATTGAGTTTTTTTCCGGTTGGCTCCCCAGACTTTTTGACATGAGAGATGAAACAAACTGTGGTAGATCTTTTGCAGTAATGATCTCAGATTCCTCCCATTCCTGTATGCTAACCCCTTTGCCATGTGATTTTGCAGCTTCCCTCATCAAGACCTGAGTCCCTGGAATCTGGGCTGAGCCGTGTGACTTGCTTTGGTCAATGGGAAAAAGGCAAAGCTTGAAAAGGCCTTGTGCCTGGGCCTTGCTGCCCCAGGGACTCCGAGACCACCATGGGGGCAACCCAGCAGCCTGCGGAGATGAGAGGATGTGTGGCCCAGTTACCTCCACTCCCCTTGCCTATAGCCCACCAGCAGCCAAGGGAAGGAGGCCTTCTACCACGCTGATTGCAGACGGGAGATGAACTCAGACACAAGCCCTTCCCACTGAGCCCAGTCCAAACTGTCAACCCTCGGAGCCAGGAGCCAACCCCCGGTTAGTTTAAGCCCACACATCATGGGGGACTTACACAAGCCACTTTCTTTCGTAAGTCTATGTTGTCTGAGTTTTCTGTTACATGATGTTGAACCTAATCCTACATGGACACAGAATTAATTTTATGGGAGGTGGTGAAATTTGAATGAGTGAGACTGCTTGGGTGGAATGATGATAATAATAATAATAACTGCTTGGTGGAATGATAATAATAATAAAAATAATAACAACAACAACAACTAGTTTTATAGTGTGTTAGTATTTAATTTTTAGTTTTTCCCCAAATTTTAGTTGAGAACTGTGTTCAGATGGGGCTTGAACTCACGACACTGAGATCAAGAGTCACGTGCTCTACTGACTGAGCCAGCTGGGCGCCCCTACTTGTTTGAGCTGTCAGGTTGAGGAGCTGAGAGCCCATTTTATGCGCATACACAAACAAGTGTTTTTCTGTCCATGCCCTCCAGCCTAAGACCACCAGGAGCGCTCCGGGAGTCGGACAAGTTGGGTTGATGACTCATTGCAGCAAGAGAGGCTGTGTCCCCATAGGGAACTCTGAGGCATCTCAGGGAGGCTGTTGGGAAAGGCTTATTATAGGATTTGGGTTTGTGTTAGGTGATCTTGAGGAGAGTTTAAGGGAGTAGGTTTTCCTCTAGGTTGCGTGGCTGTCAGGAAGTGGGAGTAGTTCCATGGCTGGGCTCTTGATCAACCTTCTCTGTGGAGAAGGCGGACCGGAGCAGGACTAAGGCTCTGAGTGAGTCCTACAGAGGCGGGGGCACTGGATCCATCATTTTGGTGGCTTGGAAGTGGTTGAGTTTTGTCTTTGTTCAGACATGATTACACAGCGGTCTTGCTTTTGTCTTGGTTCATCAGGCACAGAACACCTTGTCTTGGTTTCTGTTCAACAGGACATCAGGCTCAGCTGCTCACATCCAAGCCAGCTCCCGGATGTCGGGCCTGCTCTCTCTTTCTCAACGGAAATCAACGCTGGTAGGTCCGGGAGGATTCCTTCTCCCTAAAGATCTCCAGATATTACTCAGTTTGGAGCGACAGGCTCATTCCCGCTCAAATCGGGCGGCATCTTTAGGTACTTTTCTTGGCCCAGAAGTCTTTCCTTTCCCATTTACATCTTCTATTAACAATATCTTAATCTCAGTTTTGGTATTAATTATACACAAAGAGATTATCTTACTAACAAGATATTGTAATAATAATATTTATCAACATTTGCTATGTACCAGGGGCTGTTCTAAGCATATTATATGTCTTAATTCAAGGATTCTTTTTTTTTTTTTTTTTTTAAGATTTTATGTATTTGACAGAGAGAGGGATAGCGAGAGCAGGAACACAAGCAGGGGGAGTAGGGGAGGGAGAAGCCGGCTTCCTGCTGAGTAGGGAGCCCGATGTGGGGCTCGATCCCAGGACCCCGGGATCATGACCTGAGCCGAAGACAGACGCTTAAGGACTGAGCCACCCAGGCACCCCTTAATTCAAGGATTCTTAACCTGGGGTCATGCTGGGGTCCGTGAATGGGATTCATCTTCATTCACCTGTAATTAAATTCAGCACTTCCTTCGATTATGAATGTGGGACACAAGCCACAGAGTGTCAGCAGAGCCTGGAACTTGGCCACCATTAGAAATCATAGCTACTTTCATATCCTACCACAGTGGTTATGGGTATCTCCAAATATTGTTAGCACTCATCATTATTTTGCAATTACAGTACTTATGAGATCTTGAGACCACTAGAGCTTGTTAGTTAAGTGTTCACCAAAAAGCATGTATAGTACCATATCACAACTGTGTTCTTTAAAAATATTTTGAGGACCACTTTTTAATTAATATAATTTGTTTCCTTCATAATTCAATGTATTTTATTTCAAGCAGTTGAAAACAGCATTCTGAGAAGGGCTCCATGATTTCACTCGATGCCAAAGGGATCCACAGAAGGACACACACGAAGAGCCCTGTGCATTGATTTACTCCTCCAATGACCCCACAGGCAGGTCTCATTACCAGCTTGTTAACGGAGGGGACATGAGGCACAGAGAAGATGTGTAGTTTGCCCAAGATCACACAGGTATTGAGTGGTTGTGCATTATTAAATCTGCCAGCTCTTTTCACAGCCTATGGGTTGTGATTATCCCGAGGCAGGTGTCAGACACATGGATCTATGGATCTCCATTTCTGCCTGTGGGTGTGTGTAATGCGTATATGTAGAAAAGCGAACCACAAATACTTGTCCATTCTGGGCCTTCTGTCTGACTTCTGGGATCCCTTCAGTAACTGCATCCTCATATCCTTTGGGCCCTCAGGGCTGAAGGGCTGGGCTGGGGAGGGCTCAGGGGCCCAGCGGGGGTGAGGTGGGCAGCAGGTGAAGGTGGGGTAGGAGGGCCAGCATAACTCCAGGGTTTGGCCTCTGGCCAGCAGCTACTCTTGTGACCTGGACAGCTTGGGGGGGCGGGGAATCTGGAGGAAAGAGGATGCAGGTCCCACAGTGAGACCAGTGAGACCCCTGGGACTTGTGAGTCGAGAACACCTGAGACCATGGTCCCTGTGCCAGGCTGCCTGGGTGGGGGCGCTGTGGGCAGCTCGAAGGGAAAGCAGCCCTCGCGTGAGCTCCTGGGCTCTCAACACTCCACTGCAACACCCCTTCCTTTCGGAGCCCAGACATGTGGGTTTTCCCGGCATCCAGCAGTTCTGCGACACCAGCTGGGTGTCCCACCACTTAAGTCCATTCTGACACCCAGGACCGCCCTCCCTTCCCGTCAGATGGCAGTTTCAAGTTCAAGTTGTCTCCTGTGCTTCTGAGTGCGGGCTATCAAGCAGAGGTTCCCAAGACGCCCTCCTCAGGTTTGACGAATCGCTAGAGCAGCTCCCAGAACTCAGGGAAACAGTTCACTTCCTAGATCACCTGTTTGTCATAAGGGGATATGACTCGGGAACGTGGAAGAGATGCGTGGGGCAGGGTAGGAGGGAAGGGGGCGGAGCTTCCATGTTCCCTGGGGTGTGTTTCTCAACCTGCTGCTCCGTGTGCTCACTAACTCTGCAGCTCTCTGGAGCCTGGACTTTGGGATTTGTATGGAGGCTTCATTACAGGAGCAGGATTGATGAAATCATTGGCCATAGGCCGAGGATTCCACCTCCAGCTCCTGGCCACGGCCCACTGCCTGGGGGTGCCCGTGGGGTGGGGCCAAAAGTCTGAGCCTGGTTGGTTCCCGTGGCAACCAGCCCCCAGCCTTGGGGCTTCCCAAAGAGTCACCTCATGAACAAACACGCAGGTGAGTAAAAAGAAATTCCTTCACCTTCAGGGCTGGGAACATTTTTCAGGAACCAATGACAAACCACCAAATATGACAAAAGATGCTCTCCTGGATCTTATTGCTCAGGAAATTCCAAGCATTTAGGCACTGTGTGCCAGAAATGGAGATGAAGACCGAATCTGTATGTTTCTTATGATAAATCATAACATCACAGGAACCTAGTAAAGCCTGCTGCCCACACAGGGGTGCTGGAGCCCCTATCCTGAAGGCAGTGAGTCCCAGAAAGGCCTTTGGATATGGGCCATCCCAGTCAAAGAGCGGAAGACTCCTCCTACCCCATGGGCCCTGGGACAGGGGTCAAGTAGAAGAGTCCCTTTGATCACAACTCTGGTTAGTTGTTTTCTTCCCAAAGGTGAAGTGACATTAGTAAAAATAATACATATATGTCCCATGGATTATTTATCCTCATACCTGTGTCACATTGGATCAATCATTACAGTTTTGTGAGGTGCTTTATAAGGAGCCGAGGCAGATGGAAAAATCACAGCAAGTCACTTTATCTCATTTTCTTATATAAAGAACAGGGACAGGGGCACCTGGGCGGCTCAGTCAGTTAAGCGTCTGATTCTTGGTTTCGGCTCCAGTCATGATCTCAGGGTCCTGAGATTGAGCCCCACGTCAGGCTCCGCGCTCAGTGAGGAATCTGCTTGTCCTTTTCCCTCTGCTCCCCGCCTCAAATAAATAAATAAAATCTTTAAAGAACAGAGACAATTATGTGCTGAGCTGTGTGGACTAAATGAAATATTGTATCTTCTCAGTTCTAAATGGTAGCCTCTATGTCTGGTGGACGCTCTGTCTGAGGAACTTTGGACATGAAGAGAAAGCAATAGCTTGTATTTTATCTAGTGTCTAATTCAATAACTTTTCTTTTTTTAAAACAGCTTTACTGAAGTTAAATTGACATGTGATAAACTGCCCATATGTAAAGTGAATCATCTGATAAGTTTTAACGTGTGTACCTCTGAAGCCGCCTCCACGGTCAAGGTGATGAGCGTGTGCATCCCCCATGAGTGTTTCCACCTGTGTAGCTTAGAGGACAGTGTTGTCTCAGAGCAGGGGCTCTGAAAGCTCTCGTTTTTCTGTGATTTATTTTTATTTTATTTTTTTTAAAGATTTTATTTATTTATTTGACAGAGAGAGACATAGCGAGAGAGGGAACACAAGCGGGGTAGTGGGAGAGGGAGAAGCAGGCTTCCCGCGGAGCAGGGAGGCCGATGCGGGGCTCGATCCCAGGACCCTGGGACCACGACCTGAGCCTAAGGCAGACCCTTAACTGACTGAGCCACCCAGGCGCTCCTGTGATTTTTTTTTTTTTTAAGATTTATTTATTTATTTGGGAGAGAGAGATAGCGAGAGCCAGTGGGGGGAGGGGCAGAAGGAGAGGCAGAGAGAGAACCTCAAGCAGGCTCCACGCTGAGTGGGGGAGCCTGACTCAGGACTCGATCTCATGACCCTGAGATCAGGACCCTGAGATCATGACCTGAGCTGAAACCAAGAGTCGGACGCTTAACTGACTGAGCCACCCGGGTGCCCCGGCCTGTGATTTTCAGAAAAGATGAGAATAGTTGTCCAGGGCAGATCACTACAGCATGGTTTCATTGCAAAGCCCAGGAAGGACCACACCGGACACCTGGCATCCTCTGCTGACTCCTGAAACCCCTCACAGCTGTGCTCTTGTGCAGTTTGGGCTTCTCTAAGCTGCAGGTAGGCTTGAGCAAAACCAGACCTTCTACTGGTTCAAGGAGCTGAAAAGTCCGCAGTGATGCTGGCTTCAGGTGAGGCCTGGTTCAAGACACCAGACATTATCCCCAGACCCTGCTTTTCCCTTGTCCTCATGCACAGGTAGGCATTTCTTGGAAAGCAAAATAGCATTAGTCCTAAGCAATGTGGGAGATGAAGCTGGAAAGGTAGCAAGGTGTTGGATGCTCCGCACCCTTGCCCTTGGAGTTCTCTTCTTTACTCTGGAGTCTGGTGACCATGGGCAGCCACGGAAGGATTTCGAGCATGAGAATGACCTGATTTTATTTGAGTTCTGAGAAGATTCCATCAGCCATGATGCAGGGTCAGAATCGTCATGACAAACAAATTCTTTCTCTAGAAATCCTTTCTTGTAGGAGAATCACAGTGGAGTTAGCACCAGGCAGCATTCTTGGCGCTTTTCTTTTGGAATCTCACATCTTCCCACATTCCCTGGGAAAAATGTGTATCGCTTAAAATTTTAAATCCCAAATAACAGTGGCTTGAAGACAATAAAAGTCTGTTTCTCACTGTGTATGGTGGTCCAGGGCTGGTGTAGCAGCTCCGCAGTCAAAAGAAATCCCAACTCCTTCCATCATTCTGCCTCCAGCCCAGTTTGTGGCTTCTATCTATCAGCTCACCTCATGGCCCAAGCTGCTGGTGCTCCAGCCATCACACCTGCACCTCAGGTAAAAGAAAAGGGGGAGGGCAAAGGAGTCCACCTTCTGGTGGGTCAGCTTTCCTATTTTCCTGACTTGACATCTCTTCTTACCTATTATTGTCCAGAACCTGGCACATGATCTACTTTAATATCAAAGAATTCTGGGAAGTGTGACCTTTATAGGGGCACATTGCCACCCAAAGTGGGGCATGTGTGTGTGTGTGTTTAAAAGGTTGTATATTCTTTGGCACTCTTCCCATTGAGAGGTGGGATCTATGACCTACTCCCCAAATCTGGGCTGGGGCTCTGTGAGGGCGTTGACCACTAGAATAGGCGGAAGCGATGTTTTTATAGTGTGATTTAGCATCCAGGTCATAAAAGGCCTCAAGCTCAAGCTGCAGGTAGGCCTTACCATGTACCTTCCATTTGGCTTAGGAACCAGGAAAGGCTTTGTGGACCTACGACCTATTTAGTGGCATAGGGCCCTGTGCTCAGAAGGGTCATTCACTTGTTTTCATGCTCTGCTACAGTCTTGAAATTCTTAATGAGTGTTGTATCTTTGAACTTGTGTTTTGTAAGTGAAGTCTGATGGCACAGTGAAGCACATGCCTATGTGGAGGGTAGATGTACACTAGCTCCCTGCCACTCTATTTGTGTGTGTGTTTGGGATGCCTGCTACGCGGCTTCCATAACACGCTTAACCTTGTACATAGGGTCCCATGCTCAGAAGGGCTCAGCAGAGTATTAAAACAATTAAAATTAAAAACAATTTAATTGTTTTAATTGTTTTAGTGCTCTGCTATCACATCTTGAAATTCTTTTTTTTTTAAATATTTAATTTATTTATTTGACAGAGAGAGAAGGAACACAAGCAGGGGGAGTGGGAGAGGGAGAAACAGGCTCCCTGCTGAGCAAGGAGCCCGACACAGGGCTCGATCCCAGGACTCTGGGATCATGACCCGAGCTGAAGGCAGATGCCTAACGACTGAGCCACCCAGGAGCCCCACATCTTGAAATTCTTAATTTCATCTTTGAACTTGTGTTTTGGAAGTGAAGTCCGATGGGACAGTGGCTGCTGCATGTGAGCAGAACATGCAGTAAGGGCGTCCACCGTTCACATACAGTGCCCACCGTTCACATACAGTTTCCACTGTTCACATACGGTGCCCACCAATCACATACGGTGCCCACCGATCACATACAGTGTCCACTGTTCACACATAGTGCTCACCATTCACATAAAGTGTTCACAATGCCCCATGAGCATAGAAGTCTAGTGAGCTCACATCACGTGGATGTTCGGAGGGCCTCCAAGTGGGTACAAGGTAAGCCTGTGATGTCTAGGATTGAGTAAGTAGGGGTACAGCCCACAGAGGCCATGCTTTCTGTTCCAACTAGAAGTACCTTTGGTGGCAGAAAAGAGGCACTAACATTCCAGAAAACCACAGACAACCCAGGAAGCTGATCGCATCCTTTCCTATCCATGTGACTTCCTGTATTAGCCAACCACCTGCACTGAGATGATGACCCACAGAGGAAGGGGAGGACAGGGTACCCCTCAGTCCCTTTCCTTTCAGTCTTCTTGACCCATGATAAACAGGAGGTAGAGTGTTGATAGAAGGTGTACACATCAAGAAGTGAAATAAAAGTGGTCCATTGGTTTGGTGCAGTATTTCCACAGTCTTGCTAAGAATGAAATACACACACACACACACACACACACACGAGCTCTGAAATACTAATTTTGTAATTTCAGTGACTCCACCTATGAGTTAAATGCTCTCACATCTGCATTCAAAACTGTCATTGTACCATATAAAGATGAATGGTAAAATTTATGCTAATAATTTAAATTAAAAAAATTTTTAGAACAACATTAAGTAAATAAATAAAAACACCATGACAAGTTGAGAGAGAGACTGTAGAAGAAAGGAAGAAACACATTTTCCTAAGGTTTGAACCATGGGCTCCACATTTTCATTTTGCACTGGGCCCTGCAAATTATGTTCCTGGTCCTGTTTGGAATGCTTGCTGTCAGGATGCTTCCTCTCAGAATCCAGCCGCCATGTTGTGAGGAAGCCCAAAGCATGAGGGAAAGGGCCTATGTGGATGCTCCAGTCAGCAGTCCCCCGCAAGCCCCACCTCGGAGTCATCCCAGCCCAGGTGACAGAAACAAAGCCTCCAGATGATTCCATCCCCACGTCTCCCAGCATTCCCCCAACCTCATCCCAACTTCCAGACGCCTCCATCCATCTGGGTCTTCCAGCTGAAGCTCGGCTGTCATGACATTGAGACACGCCCTCCCTGCAATACCCAGTCTGGATTCTTGACCTACAGAATCCCTGAGCAAAATAAATCCACGGCTGTTATTTTTCTGCCCCTGAGATTGCTGTAGTTTGATATGCAGAAATAAATTACCATAGTTTATTCGTTTGGGTTGATTCCCATCTTTGGTTAATACAAATGAAGCTGCAATGAATAACTGTGTGCATGTATTATGTATATTTAGGACAGATTCCTAGAAGTGAGGATTACTGTGTCAAAGGGTAAATGCATAAGTAATTTTGTTAGCAGTGGCCAAATTCCTCTCTACATTCTTATTTTCTCCCTAAATAGCTTTGTGTTTGCAGTGTACATGTGGATGTGTAATCTCCCCTCCCGACATACCTAAGTACATATAGAGAAACATACAGAGACAAAAATGCACACACAAAGGGACAGCCTGGTGAATTCTCACAAACTGAACATGTGTGTGTAACCTTCACATGGGTCAAGAAACGAACAGTCCTCGTCCCCTCAAACTGCCCTAGCACCCTTCCCAGTGAATACTCCCTTCCATGTATGAATATACCACTATTTACCCATTTTCCTATTGGTGTTTCCAGTTGGGGGCTAATACGTTCTATACTCCTTGGCTTTTGTTATACTCATCCAAACCTGTTGCACAGATGTCAGGGGTGTTAGATGCTCTTTTACCTTTTTGTTGGGTTATCGTTCTCAAACTAGGTTCCTCTGTAACCCTGGGGCCCTTTCTCAAATGACAAGAAAAGAACAAAGGCGTGGCTTGGCTTCTATCAGTTTAAAACCTTCTCCCAAACATTTGGGGTCCGGCCCCACTTGTCCGCTAGTGAGCTTCAGCAGTGACAAATGTTCAAGAAATAACAGGAAAGCCTGTAAATGCCACAGGCTGCATTGCGAATAGGACATCATTTATGGAGTGGTCTTTTGTGTCGGGACAGGTCGTTCACGGACAGTAGATGGATTTTCTCTAAACTTCAAACGCCTTGGCACAATAGGTATCATGATCTGGATTTCACTGGGAGTGAAAACCCAGGTTCTGACGGGGGAAAGCAACTTGCTCACAGTTACACACTAACACTGGAGGACCGGGAAGCCTGTAGGCTCAGCGACACCACAGCGCTGGCTTCCTGCTGTTTAGACTGTTATCTTCTGTGTCCTCTTCTCAGTCTGGCCCACCAGGGCCTGCCTACCTCAGTCCCTTACCAGACCTCTGGCTTCTTCCCCTTCCTGAATGCTCCGAAGCTTTCCCCTGGGCCAGCCCCAGGGCCTTTGCGTGTACTGTTACCTCTGCCTGGAACCCTCTTGTTCCTCTTCACCTAACTCCTCCTCATCCTAGAAGGATACCTTCCCCAACTAGTTGGCGCCTTGCTCCAATAGCACCATATATTTCCCCTCTCACCTTCATTTTAGGTGGTTTGGTTAATTCGTATTGAATTTCTGTCTCTTTCTGCCCACCCCAGACTATAAGAACCTGAGGGCAAGTGTCAGTCTGTCTTGTTCATGGCCATGTCCCAGTGCCTAGCACAGTAGTTAGTAAATACTTGATGAAGGAAGGGACCATCTTATTTGAATCTCATGGCAACTCTGTGAAGCAAGCAGAGCTGGGCTGCTCACTCCCTTTTTACAGATGAGGAGAGTGAGGTCCAGAGAGGGAAAGGGTTGGTCCACTCTTCTGATTTGTGGACACAGCCAGACCTGGACAGCTGTGATCCTGATGCCTCTCCCAGACACCAACGGGCAGGTGGAGGCGGAGGGAAGAGATCTCGGCCAGCCAGGAGGTTTCCAGTCTCCCCAGATTAAAGTGGCCTGTCCCTGTCCCTCCCCTGCCCAGGCCACTCGAGGGGGGATGGGCGGGAAGCAGGTCAAGGAGGTCAACAAGGAAGAAAGCTAAGTCCTACTAAGAAAAGATTTGGGGGCGGTGAGCCTGTGGCCAAGTGCTCTGAAGCCAGGCAGGGAAGTCAGGAAGTCAGAGCAGGAAGGAAGGTCTGTCCCTGCCCCAGGGGGGGTCAAGCAGGGACAGTGGGCCTTTATTTTCCTGTGTGAGCTTCAGGCACTGGCTAGCTTCAGCTTGGCAACTGCTTATGCATTTATTTATTTTCCTTGAACCTTGGTCACGGGGAACATAAGATCCAGGTGAAGCATGCTCTGGAGCAGGTGATGTGGGCCCAGAGCTACCTTGGTAAATTCTTACTGTGTGTCTTTGGCCACGTGACTTCACATCTCTGGGTCTCAGTTTCCCTATTTGGAAAGGGGAGAGATGATCATAGTACCTATCCCATAAGGTCATTATGGGGCTTCCGTGGAGATTCTAAGGGAAGTTCTTCATAAGGTCCCTGGCAAAGAGAAGTAATTGGAGACAAATCACAGAGAGCTTACTATGTACAAGCTCTCTCCTAGGTGCCTGGCAATTTACTAAGCCCTCATGGGGATTTTGGAGGCTCTTAAATTATCCCTGTAAGGAGCAGAAGTGGACTTGGGCCCAGCTCTCGGCAGAACCAGAGGGCTGAACTGATACACTGTGTTACTTACAGAGAGTAGCTACCACGTGCTGGGCCTGGAATTCCATGCCATGGGGACGTGAAAGTCCAGTGGAAATGGACAATCCTCCAGGATACCTGAGGGCCACCTGGGATCCTTTCCTCAGAAGGAATTCGTCAGGCCCAAAGCCTCTGAACTCCAGTGTAAGAACAGAGCAGAGGTGGAGCTGGAGAAAGACTTGACCTGGGTGGTGAAGAGCCCTGATAGCAGGCTGAGCACAGGGTACTGGGGAGCCACTGAAGGTTTCAGGCAGGGGACATGACATGACTGTAGGCCAGGAGGGAGCAAACCTGGAGAGGGAGCCCTATAGGGAGACTGCTGGGATATTCTGAGCCAAAGATACCAGTCTGGGGTAAAGAGGGTACATGCTGGAGGCGACGCGGTGCTGGATGGCCTGTTTCCCTTCCTGCCAGGTGCGAAATGACACCTTTGGGTGCAACTGCCCGGGCCGGAGAGGGAAGCTGTGGTTGAGGATGGCAGAGCTGCCCACCAGCCTTGGACTGCTCAGCTCCAGACTTACAGGGAAGAAAAATATTTAACCCACTGAATTTTGGGGTCCTCTTGCTACAGCAGCTTAGCTTGTACCCTAAGTCACTGTGTGACTGTAGGCAAGGCACTTGACTTCTCTGAGCCTCTGTTTCCACATCTGTAAAATGGGGTAATACTAGAACCCATTAGGATTCAGAGTTAGTGTGTGTAAACTAGCATGGAGGAGGCAGACAGCGCCTCGTGTTCCCACCCAAGCCCCCCTGGTTGATCCTGTGGAGGAGACACTCCCAACTTCCCATTCAGCCGAGGGCAAGTCCCTTACGTTCTCTTCCTCCTTCTGACTCCCCCACTGGCACCGAGTGCAGGGCAGTGCACACAATAAGGCCCTTGACTCAGTTTTCTAGAATAACAGGATGTGGATGACTTTCAGATAGAGGTGCTCCCTCTCCTGTATTTTACAGAGAAACTGAGGTCCAGAGAGGGGCAGAAATTTGCCTCTGCTGCACAATGACTCGGGCAGAGTGATGGCTGGATTCAGTCCTGGCAGGTGTTGGGATGGGGAGTGACCTCTGATGTAGGTGCTGGGCAGGCACGCTGTCCCACCCCTCTCCCCCTTGCTCATGATGGCTGCAGCCACACTGGCCCCCTTGTAGTTCCTCATGATCACATCAGGGCCTTTGCACTTGCTGTTCCACCTACTGAAACTACCCTTCCCTGGCTGCCTCTTTCTCACTGTATCAGTCCTCCATTTAGGTACTACCTCTTCAGAGAGGGCTTCCCCTGATCACCTGAAGTTGAACTCTCTGTAATCAGTCTCTACCTCCTGTTTGCTTTCTTTATTTGCAATATATTAATTTGTCAATTTAGTTTTACAAACTAAAAAAAATTCTGATTTGGGCCAGCCTCTCTCTCTAGCCTACGTTCTGTGAGCATAAGAGTGTCTTGTTTGCTCCATCCCCATCACCCAGTCTGGCCTTGACCCAGGCAGATCCTCAACACATACTTGCTATGTGAACAAATGCATGCATGCATGAATGACTGCATGAGTGAATGTTCCAGGTCTGGATGTCCACCATCACCTGGAATCCACATGATTTCCCTGTGAACCAACCCCCAGGCTCCCCAGTGTGCAGATGGGGAAAGGGAGGCTCTAAGAGTCCTCACGGGGTAGGGCAGGAACGTGTCAGGTGCTAAAGGCCATTGGACTTCCCTGACCTCCGGACACACGAGAACCTCCGCTGCACAACCCCACATTCATCTAACACAAGCAAGTAACACACTTATGCTGGACACGGCCTGGACCAGACTCCATTCTCCGAAATGCTGCCCCACCGGAAGATGGGGCCGCTGCTGTTGCCAAGGCAACGCTGTTAGTTTTCGGAAGCATCTTTAAATGGGACAGGTGAAGGCTCCCACAGACACCGAGGGGGAGGGAAATCTGGAAAATGGGGTCAAATCCCCCCAGCCAGCAAGACAGACCATCCTGATGCTGGCTGGTCCCCTACTCCCTGCAAAGGGCCACCTTTGACCTCAGCCATGGCTCTGGAGTGTGCACAGTGACTTTCTCCCTCATTGTGGAAACTGCTTCTGCTGGGGACACGCAGAGACCTTAGGAACAATGTGATCAGGTGCCAGTGGTAAAGGCAGACTGGTCTTGGAGAGCTTTCCAGAAATTTCCTTCAGTCCTTGAAATAAGTAGAGGGGACCCTACTCCAGTATTTTTGTGGTTGGTGCCAAGATGCCCCAGAGAGGCCCGCACAAGGGAGGCAGCTCATAGATGCAGGGGCACCGGAGGTGGTGATGCGCTGTGCCACCTCGGATGAAACCCTTTTCCTCTCTGAGCGCTAACTTCTTCAACACTACAGTGCGGAGAATGCCGGTCTGGTGTAGGGAGTGGGGACAAGGATTCTGCAGAGTCAGGTATCCCAGAAGCCAGATCCTATGCGTAGGGACCTCGAGGAGATCCAGCCAGGGCCAAGGCCACACCAGCCATGCCCCCACGGGGGCCTTGTGCTGCCTGGAGTCCTTCTGCTGGTCTTGTCTGCAGCCGCTGTGGCTCAGCATCGCTCTCAGGGGGCTTAGAGAGGTCAGCAGCTGCTCTGTCCTGATTGCAGGGATGCGAAACAGAGACTCAGTCAGAGAGGACCAGGGATTCTGCTCCAGGGACACAGCCAGGACAGCGAACCAGGGTCTGACATCCCTGGACAGGCCACAGCTGTGTCCTTGATAGTTTGGGGCAACCCCGAGGTGAGCTGGAGCCTGGGGCCAGGCCTTGGGGGCACGGAGGCTGGGAGAGGGGGCAGAGATGGAGGGAAATGGGAGTCAGAGAGATGGAAGGAGGAACAGTGATTGCCAGTCTGGAAATGGCGCCTAGAAACAGCTAGTCCACGTGACTTGGGTGGGACTGACCCTACCCCCGTTCCAGGTGTGATCAGGTGGCCCAGGTCTGGTCAATCAGACACATAGTGATAAGTGCAGAGATGCGCACAGGAGGACCAGTCCCAGCTGGAGAAAATCATGCCTTTGCTGGAATCCCTGGGACAGGGGAACGCTCTGTCTTAGGGATGCTCAGCTGGGAGGACATGAGCCCAGGGCTGCTGGAGCCACCTGTCAGGAGAAAACCTGATGGAGAATAAAGCCAACATGGTGGATGCAGGGCTGAGAGGTGAAGAGGGACATCATTTGAGCCCCTGGATCTAACCGTGCCTGAATCCACTCCTAGACTTCCTGGCATGTGAGTCAATCCATTCCTTAGGATAGGGTTTCTATCCCTTGTGTTGGATGAGTCCTGGCATGGAGGAGGAAGGAAGGGAGGGAGGAAGGATGACTATTTTAGAACAGGCATCTGAGGGTAACCCAAATCAGCTTCTTGGCCTTTTCTAGAAAATGACTATAGACCCGGGTTTGGGCCTCACCCCACCCAGAGGAGTCTGTTCCTGGGGCTCCCAGCTCTGGCTTCATCTCCTCTCCAGTGCCCACCTGGCTGATAAAACTCTGCAGTACACACATAAATGCCACGGAGTCAAAAAACAAATGCTCACCTTACCTGGGTCCAGAAGAAGGGGGGCATGCACTTAGGGGTGAATTTCCTCACCCCACTTTCCTCTTTGGGAACTAAACTTTATTAGGCACCTGCTCATGCCGAGCCCTGTTACAAAGTTGACATACACGGTTTCATCACCTCCTGCCACAGCCCAGCCAGGAGAGAGCATCATTTCTAGTTCACAGACAAGGCAACTGAGGCCTTGAGAGGCTGAGCCACTGGCCTCAAGTCCAGGAGCTGGAGCAGGTCTGTCCAATTCCAGAGCCCCGCCGGCAGCACGGCTGCTCACGCGGTAGATGCTAAATGAAGGCCTGCCCAGCAAATGCTGTGTGAGGCCACGTGAGCCTTCGGGGCAGCACCCTGCCCCTCGGTAATTTCCCCCTCCTGCCTGAAAGGCCACCATTGGCAACCCCATCCTTTGTTTTTTTCAAAGAGATCAGTGTTAATCTGTGCTGGCTTTGCTCAGGGGACCAGCTGAGGCGGGACTCAAGGACAGGTGGGAAAAGGTGGCCCATTTCCACCATCCCAGCCTCATCCAGGAGAAAACCTGAAGACAGAGGCGTACCCTGGTGGGAGAGCAGGTTGGTCTCGGCTGGTCTGGGTGTTGGCTGAAGACAGCAGGACGGTGCTGGCCTCATCAGGCCCGAGGAGGGTGACAGTGATGGGGGTGGGTAGCAGGGCGGCTGTGGCCCCTCTCTGACCCTGTCCTCTGAAGGAAGCTCGTGGGGAGCCCCTGGTCTCCCAGACCCAGGCCAAGGCTGGCTCTGCCCCACACTCCCACTTCCCTCAAACCCCCAACTGTAGCATCACTGTTGGATCAGGTGGGAGGAGAGGGCTAGGGTCCTGGCTTGGAGGCTGGAAGGATCTGGACTTGAAGATGGCATCCTGCCCAAGGCAGAGTGGACAGTCCCCAACAGTCCCTGAAACTTGAGCCAAGGTGGGCTAGGGCTACAGGGAGTGCTGAGAGGATAGCCTCCAGGCAGATATCTGGCTTCCTGGGGCCAGAAGGAGCCTGGCAGGACCCCAGCCCACAGCACAGATTGGAAACTTAGTTCTAGGTCCTTCTTCAGGGGTGGCATGTGTCTTCTTTAACCCAAAGCTTCTTCCAGTTGCTTTTAGAGGCTGTTGGAGACCATCACTGTGTCTCTTGTAGCTCGAAAGTGTGAGTGCAGATGGGGGTGGGGAGCTAGGGCTCCTCCTCTTCACACTTGACCAACTTTTTCCAAGGGCATCTGCAGCCCCGAGAGATGCTCTGGGATAAAGAAGGCCTGTTTTCCAATAAGGACACTTGGAGAAAGCTGCCCACTCTAACCTCTTCACAGGCAGTCAAAAGGCATATGCCCACACTAAAGGCTCTGACAAGTCCTGCAGCTATGGATGCCTGTTCATATTGATTTAAGCTGGTGTTTCCCTCCATAGGTACTTTTCGAGGGGAGCCTGAGTTATTCTCTCCGGAACACCTTCGGGGACACACTGGGGGTAAAGAAATCCTTGTTAGATCTTCTGGAGCCTCCAAGAGACCAGGTCTGAGCTCCAGATGCTGGGGCCTAGGAGGGGTGGACTGTTAGTCATGTATTTCTTTGAGGACCTACATGAAGTCTGTTCTCAGCTCATTCAGGGTGTTGTGACCCTCAAGCTGGCAGGGGGCCCGTGCAGGAGACAGAAGGGAGGAGGACAGAGGGACACTGTAGAGGCAGGATCCCCCCATTACCCACCATCTCGCAACTTGAGGGGAACAGGGGGGCAGCGGACCCTCTGACTCCCGGGCAGGAAAGGAGAGCGGCCTCAGGAGACCCAGGGTATCCAGGACAAGGCCCTGGCACTGTGCCCTGTGTTTGGGGTCCAGCTCGCCCCGGCTCTTCCACTGGGTCCAGCCTCCGGGCACGGCTGCCTCTCAAATGCCCACGGGGCGCAGCATCATGCGAGTGGCCCGCAGCGAGTAGCTGGGGCCCTGGAAGTAGTGCCAGCGGATGCCGTTGAGCTTGCGCGTGTGGTGGCGAGCTGGGTAGTAGATGCCGTTGAGATTGGAGAGGCCGCAGGCGTCAAACCACCACCCTGGTGGAGGGAGAGCAAGATGCTTGGGCGGGGGCGGGCCAGCCAGTGGGTTGAGGGCAGCCCCCCAGGCCCCGGGACTAACCGAGGCTGCTGCCTCCTCTGGGAAGCCAGCTCGCAGGGGGAGATGGGGCCGAGTGGAATGGGCATGCGGGCGGCAGGGGGGCCCCCAGAGCCTCTGCTCAGCCTGCAGCCTCTGGAGGGCGACACCTCGATGCCACCCCCCCAGCTTGTTTTCCCCTAGCCCAGTCTCAGAGGAAGATTGGTGATGCCTGTGTTAGGATGAAGGGAGACACTGAGGGAACCTTAAGGACTTAGTGGGGAAAGGGTTTGGTGGGGGGGGACAGCCAGGCCAGCGTGCGGGTGGGTGAGACCCTGACCTGCACCCTCTTCCCGACAGCACCTGGCTGAACGCACGGGACCTGGGTGGGGAGGTAATGGGGGTGTCCAACCAGGTGCAGGGCTCCAGCCCCCCACACCCACCTCCAGACAGCATCTGGGCACACTTGCAGAGGCAGTTGTCATTGTCTGCGTCACGGGTGCTGAAGTTGGTGCCTTGCAGGACCAGGCTGCTCTGGCGTCCTGCTGACCCGCTGTACCCACTCAGAGAAAGCCTGGAGGCCACCCGGAGGTGGTGATGGGAGATGGGTCCAGAGTTAGGTTGGCTGGTTAAAGAACGCCCCGCCCCCCAAGAGGCTTTGTCCAAGGCTAAGGGTTCCCTCCAGTTGTTCTGGGAGGGGGCGCCCCAGTCTAGGCTGCTTGGACTGTCCCTGGCCCTGGCTTGCCCTCCCTGCCTGCTGCCTCCCAGGGGCAGAGTACTCGCCGTGTGCCAGGCCTCCCTCATCTCACTGAACCCGTGTCTTGGACAGGACAGAGAAGGATCAAAATAATAATACTAATAATGAGGACGATGGCTAACATTTTTTTTGAACACCTCCCGTGTTCTGGGCATTCTGCGGCTTAGCTCGTCTCCTGGCATCCTCACAACACCCTATTATTTCCATCTTACAGATGAAGAAACAGAGATCCCGAGAGCCCAGGGAGGCTGCCCCAGGCCTCGGAATGAAAGACGGTGAGAGCCAGGTCCCAGCCCAGGGTGGCCTGCCTTGGGAGCTGTGTGCATTTTGCTCCCCAGCTGACCATCCTGCAACCCCAACCCACCACCTCCCGGAAGCCTTCCCTGACCACACCAACCCACATGGATCTGTGCCCCGGGGCACCCCCAGCCCTGTGACTTGCACATCTGCAGCCAGTGGGGGAGGGTTTCTATTTCTCTACCAGGTTGTGAGACCCTGGTGGGCACGGCCAAGGCTGCGTGGCTATTACGACCATGAGCTCTGGGGATAGAATGCCTGGATTTGCATCCCAGCCCTGCCACTTGCCAGCGGCATGACGGTGGGCAGACTGCTTCAGCTGCAGTTTCTTCAGCTGCAGTTTCTCCTTCTGTTAAAATGGTAGTGATAGTAATGTTACCCGTGACGACCTCGTTCGTTATTGTGATCCGAGGTCCTTGGGGTGTGAGGAGTGCAGAGCGGTGCGGGCACACGGTAAATGCTCAGCACATTTAGCGCTTGTTAGCCATTGTCCCTGCATTCCTGCCCTGGACACATGGCTGCCATAGGCTCTTGCTCAGCCTGACAGGAGAGGGTGTTGGGTGTTTGTAGCCCCGGCAACTGAGGTGGGGACCTGGTTTGGGAAAAATTAAGAAGGTCCTACGGGTGGAGAAAAACGGACACCAGATGCAGCCAGGGCAGCTCAGGGCAGCTCTGGTTCCCCCAGGAAGGGCCTGGGAGGTGCTGCTGGTGGGATCAAGAGGGAATGTGGGCCCTGGGCATGTGGCCTGGCTCAGTCCCTGCGCCTCCCACCACAGGCTCTGCATGTCTGTGCCCTAACTGTGAAGCCCTAACTGTGCCCTTAAATGTGCAGCCCGGGGCTTGTGTGACTGGTGTCGCAACGCCCCTCCAAAGGGGCCCATCTCTGTTAATGCTCTATGTGCAGTATCTCATTTGAGCTTCATAACACGTTGAATAAGGTAGGTACACCTAGGGCACCCATTTTACAGATGAGAAGGTGGAGGCACTTCTTCAGGGTTGTTCAGGGGGATAAGGATTTAGTGAGGACTTAAGCCTTGGCTTTGGTGGCTTAAATAGGAGTCAGCAGGGTGTTGTGGTGACTCACTGGTCAGCTTGAGGAATAGAGAGGGCATCCAACTTAGCCCTGCCTAGCCCAGACCCAGGGCACAGTTCATTCAGCTCTGAAGCTTGCAGTTTAAGGAGGACTATTATCAGATTGGGGTGGGTCCCATAAGGAGGATGTCAGGACAACTTAGCTGGAGGATCCAGGGGCATTTAATAAGAAGAGAGAGGGGTAGAGTACTCATTGAAAAGCTCCCCAAGATGGAATTAGACAAAAAGTATAGGAGGACAGAGAGCCACCAGAGATTCCTTTGGAGGAAGTGACCTTCCTGTCAGTGGAGGCATTCCAGCCTGGCTGGATGATGACTATGGCTGTGGAGGAGATTCCAGCATCATGGGAAGACCCAGATGACAGGTGAGGTCCTTTGCAGACCCGTGAGTGTGAGTCTATGATTTCAGTTCTATCCTGTTCAAAGATAGCCAGGACCTAGTCTTCTCTCCGAGAACATTGAGTTTCTCAGAGAGGCAACATCATGTAGTGGAAACACCCTGAGTTTTCGTAGCAGAGAGATCTGAGTTCAAATCCAAGCTCTACCTAACTTGTAACTTTGGGCAGGGGACTTAAGCTCTGTGCCTGCTTCTACATCCCTAAAGCAGGTACAGCAGTGCTTACCTCAGAGTGTTGTAGGAGGATTAAATGGAGTAATATGCCGGGAACATAGTAGGTGCTCAATAAATGCTCTTTTCTTTTCCTAAACAGAGCCAAGAACCAAGCCAAGGGAGGTGTGGGAGACCTTGATGATGCTATATTATACTCCTATTTAAGCCCATCCTGCCGTTAAAGAAGCAGAGGTACAGAGAAGCCAGAACTTTGACTTGCCCAAGTTCGCAAAGCAAGCTGGAACAGAGCCAGAATTAGCTCAGGTCCCCTGATTCCCTGCCCAGGGACCTTTCCACCTCACCCCACAGCACGGGACAGCCTGGACTCCCTGCTCTGGGCCTCAGTAATATGGCTGACTCGGGGTGACTGACCTTAGAAGGCCCTTTCCTGTTCCTGGGCCGGCAGCGTCAGCGACATGCTCTCCACCCCACCCAGCAGCTAGGACGTGCTGAGTGTTAACCAGCCGCCTCCAGATCCCGTGACGTGTGCCCAAATGGGGGACAGATGGTAGCAACAGGAGACGCCCAGGGACTGACCCTTGGTACAGACTCTACAGCCACTAGCCCGGGACCCTGGCCCGCCCACCAGCCTGGGCCCCGAGCCCACCTGTACAGCTGCCCCTCGCTGCCCAGCTGGAAATGCTCATACTGGGCATAGGCCTCGTTGCCCTCCCAGTCTTGCAGCTCCACGCGCAGAGAGTAGGCTGCCCTGCTGGTGAGCTGGTGCACCACTTCATTGCCCAGCCAGTGCTCCCCCGCCAGGTCACCGAAGCCCTGCGGAGAGTGAAGGGTAGGGGTGGGTTTCATGCTGTGATGGGAGGCTGCCTCCCCGGCTGAAGAGCTGGGCTGGGCCAGGCTCCAGGGCCACTTAATCCAAAACCATGTTGCCTAATGATCAAGTCCACAAAGTACAGAGTGGGCAGGCCTAGGGATGGGAGTTCTCCACCTCCTAGAGCAAAAAGACTAAGATTTTTATAAATGTAAAATTCTGTTGAAAATAATTGAAATCACATTTCTATGGAGTTTAAGAACAAGCAAAATGAATCTGTGGTGATAGAAGTCAGAATAGCAACTACCTTTGGGGGGAGTATTGACTGGGACACACGGAGGCACAGGGGGGCACAGGGAGGGCTTCTGTGGTGCCGGCCGTGTTGTAGATATACCTAGCTTTAAACGGTGATCACGTTGGTGAATACGTATGTAAAAATCCACTGAGTATCTTACGCCTGAGATCTGTGCACTTATCGGCATGTCTGTCGAACCTCAATAAAAAATTAAAGATTTTAATAAGCTGCATGAATTGTAGAGCAAACCTTGGTCAGTGACATGGCAGCTGCTGCAAGATTTCAGCAACACAGAAATGCAAAGCTAAGCACGTTAGGTGTCACCACCGTCCCAGGGTGAGGAGAGACAAGTGCCCTGGGCCCGAGCAACAATTCAGCACCAAGGACAGGGGCACACCTAAGCCCCACTCCCCATTTAGCCACGTGGCGCTGCAGATCAGCCTAAAGATTAATATTCAGTGCCCTCCTGTATTTCTGCGTCTGAGTATCCTATTTCTTTTTGCCATTTCAATAATTGTTTAAAACCCAACTGGCTCAAGAACACTCCTATCTTGATTTGGTATTTATTTTTAAGTATTTATCAAATGAACAGTAAGGGACACAACTAATGATATTGTTGCATTTCCGTGTATCCTTTTCTATTTCTTTTGCTTGTGGAAACTTTAAGAGCTTTTAAGTCAGCTTGCCAAAAATCCTTTATTCAAAATTTAATTAAGAAATTGGAAGACAATCCGGCACCATGTCTCATCTCGTAAAACGCATGGGGTCTTTGAGCCAGCAAGTCCATGTTACAGAATCTCTCCTGCAGATGTCATTATATTATTGTGTGCAAAGACAGGGACATTCATTTAAGCAATGCAGCCAGGGGTGGGCAGGGGAGATTACTTTCTTTCTGTTCCTTTTTTTTTTTTTTTGTATTCTTAAAAAAATTTTTAAGCAATATGCATATATAATCTTTCCACAAATAAAAAAAATAAGGTTAAACTTTTATTCTTAGGATATATGTCAGAACTTGCAAAAAAGAAGGTTCAATTTCTGGTGATGGAGTCCCTGACAGTGAATGTGCACTGGGAAAATCTGTTTGAAGGTGGTTGGTTTTAGGTGGGTTGATTTTTTTTTTTCTGGGAAGGGTTGAGGGCGATCCACCTGCTCCAGGTTTCAGGGCGGAGAAGCCCCTTCCCAGGGCAGCAGTGTTACCTGTTTGTAATCTCTCCAGTTCCGCTGGAAATTCACGCTGCCATTCTCACGGCGCTGGATGAGAGTCCATCCGCCTCCATTGGCCTCCATGTCACAGAACACCTGGAAGGAGTTGGGTGGTGGTGGAGGAGGGAGTTGGAAGCCCCCGGAAGCTGGCAGAAGCAGGTCAGGGCTGGCCCTATTTTGATTTGGCTTACATTCTCACAGAGCAACAAGTGAGCCTGGAGGTCGAGGGCATCAGAAATACCCAGGTTCATATTTCCCACCTATTGTCATCATTTTTCTAAAGTCATGGGCAAGTGATGCCCCCTCAGAGCCTTCCTTTCCTCACTCATAAAATACAAGTGTTAAAACCTTAACCTCTTTGTGCCTCAGTTTCTCATCTGCAAATTGGCTTGATGTGAGAACTGCGTAAGCTGAGCCATGTAAAGAACAGAGCCTGGGCATACTGGGAACTCAGTAAGTGGAGGCTTTTCCCTCGCTGTTATTGCGAGGTTGTTGTAAGGATTAAATGCCGAGAGGCGTAACACGCTTGGCACACAGCATAGGCTCGGGAATTGTTATTATGTTCGGCAGACAAATGTTTTCTGAGCACCTGCTATATACCAAGCTCCATTCAAGGCATGGGGGATGCCAATATGGATAAGACAGAAAGAGTCTTTCCCTCAAAGTGCTCACCATCCAACATAATCTCTTCTTTCAGCCTAGTCTTTGTTCACATATTATTTTTCCAGCCAGTTCAGTACATGTTCAGTGTTCAGTGAGGACACACTTGGTCCCTGGTCCCATACTAGATGACAGAGACAAATCAGAGATAAAGCAACCCTCAGGGCCAGCTTGGTCTGCAGGAGGCTATGATAGGGCAGGCAGACTATTGATTATGAACATTTGGGTTGCTACAAGGAGAGCTCCTAAGAAGGAGTCACTGAGCAACCCTGACAGGCTTCCCAGAGGAGGTAGCATGAGAACAGGGCCTTGGCATGTGCCTGACAGGCCAACAAGGGGAATGGCACCTCCAGTGGAGGAAGCAGCTCTGAGGAGGTAAAGGCCAGCTCAGGGAGAGAAGACAGGGACATTTGCTGTGAAAGTGGCAGAGGGTGCAGGAAGGGAAACTGAGGCCCAGAGAGGACAAGGGACTTGCTCAAGGCTAGTGAGACTGAAGTAAAGCTAAGGTGTGAGCCCAGAACTCTGGCCTCCCAGGATTCCACCATAGCTGAATTGACTTAATTTCATGTAGAACATTTACTTAAAAAGTCATGTCCTTTTTTTTTTTTTTAAAGATTTTATTTATTTATTTGCGAGAGAGAGAATGAGAGACAGAGAACATGAGACGGAGGAGGGTCAGAGGGAGAAGCAGACTCCCCACTGAGCAGGGAGCCCGATGCGGGACTCGATCCCGGGACTCCAGGATCATGACCTGAGCCGAAGGCAGTCGCTTAACCGACTGAGCCACCCAGGCGCCCAAAAGTCGTGTCCTTTTAACACTTGCTTTTATTCAGATCATTATAAAAATAAATATAACGAAAAGGTGAAATTCTAGGTAGAAATCGAGGGCCCAAACTCTGTGTCAAAGAGGAGTTGAGCAGGTGGGTATGTGGAGTGTTAAAGACAGTCTGGAGACAAACTGATAGGTATATTTATAGGAATTCAAAGGAAATTGAACAGGGAATCGGGAAGTGTGAAGACTGGCTAGTTGTTCTCTATACTCTCTCACTGCTGGGTCTGGCCCCCAAGCCCTCCCTCCTGATAGCCACCCTTTCCCTTGACCCCTCATCCATCCATCTGATAACTGGACCTCAAAGCCTGGGACAACCTTGGAAACACTCACTGAAGATGGTAGGGTCTCTATCAGCCCTGGTCCCTAATTTCCCACATAGAGCAGAGCCCCCACACCTGCATTCGACTGGACTACATGTAAATTAGAAAGAAACTTCTTTGGGTTAAGCCCCTGGATTTTCCGGGTTGATGTGCTGAATAAGCTAGCATTACCTTAAGCAACGCAGGACTATTTTCTGCCCTTCCACCTGAAAGCAGCTCTGGAGAAGATGCAGGAGAAGGATGCATTTCCAGCTCTGGGGACTTCTGCTTTACCCCCACATTCTGACCTCTGACTGGAGGGGGGCTGCAGACAGTAGGGTCATCCCACCTTCTCTGGGGTATCTCAGATGTTGGACAAGGCCTGAAGCTGATGGGGGGTGGCCTGCCAGGGACGCCCTTGGCTCAACCCCCTTGGATAGCCTCCGCCCCCAGGCGGTCCCCTAACCTTCCTGGGCTCTGTCATATTGGCCACATGGATGGTGTAGATGCCACTGGCATTGGCCCCGAAGCGCTGGATCTCTGCACAGTCCTGGAACACGTGCTCAGCTGCTCTCACAGAGGCTGCAATGGGACAAGGCAAAAGCAATCGGAGGTAAGCTAAGGAGAGAGGGAAGGGGCCAGGTGGGTACTACTTCCTGCCAGCTTCCGGGTTGGGAGGTGCCGGGGACAGGGAGAGGTATCAGACCTGTGCAGAGGACCGTGCAGTGAGAGGAAGTGGTGGAGGCCAGGGAGGGAAATGACCCGCCACCCACGAGAGCAGAGCTGAGGCCAGAGCTGTAGCTGTCCGATGATCTTGACTGGAGTAGGACAAGGCTGGCACAGGCAGGGTCACCAAGGAAGGAGAGATGAGGCTGAGTTTCAGCAGGGGGCAAGGTCAGCCCTGCAGGCCAGAATGAGGAGGCCGGGCTGTGCCGAGGAAGAGCGCTCTGGCCAGAGTGTGGAACGGGGACTGGAGGGGATGAGACTCAAAGCAGGGAGGCCACGGACGAGGCTGCTAGAGTCCTCCAGGAGAGGTAATTGGAGTCTGAACTCCAAGGAGGTCCTTCCCCCTTTCATAGACCAGGAAACTAGGGCCCAAGAGTCACGTAACTGGCTCAAGGGCACATAGCTGGGGGCACAGGCAGAGCCTTCCTGCTCTCTAGGTCATACGAAGGAGTCCTTAGAGCCTTGGGCTGGAGGCACAACTCCACAGTGCCCTTCTCTGGTGACAGTGGTGACAGTGGGGCAGGGGGACAGGGCGTTTGGGGCAAAGGGTGCCCGAGGCAACGTGCCCTCCCCAGACCGGTGAACAGACATTGGGTCACAGCTGGAGACTGGGCTAGCGGTGAGCCTGTGGGGGGAGGCCTTGGGCCTGGGCCTGCATCTGGGACTGAGCTACAATACACCCACACATGGGACTCATTTAGGCGGCTTCCCTGCCAGGGCTACGCACAAGCCTGTGATGGGTTCGGGTCACTCCGTATCTCATGGTTTGGAAGGTATCCACTTCTCCTGCCTGTGGCTTCCTTGGGGCCTCATATCCCTCAAACCCAGCAGGGCCTGCCCGACTTAGACAGAGCCCTGGTGCCATCCTTTGGCACCATACTGCCTGGAACCCATCACTATTGCTTGATTCCTTGTGCCTTAAAAGCTTCCCAGCCTCCTGCTATGGCGATCCAGCCCGGGTAGAAACCCCTTCTGAGGTCTTTCTCTCACCCAGCCATTCTCCACTGCCCGGTTCCAATTGCGTTTCCTAAAACATAGTCCCACTGGGTGCAAAACCCTCGTGTGTCTCCTGATTATCCTCAGGTTCATATTCTCTCTCCTCAGCACAGCCTTTTAGGCCTTTAGTGGCCTGGTAATTTCAAGAACACTGTTGGCACATAGTGGCACATAGTAGGTACTCAAAAATATGCATTTCCTCCTTCTTCCCTTAGAGACCCAGAGATGGGCAGGTGGGTATTTTTGCAAGACTATGCTGTTCACTGCTGCATCCCCAGCACCGGGCACTGGGCCTGGCACACAGTGGGTGCTCAATAAGGGTTTTGCTGACCGCGTGATTGAAGCCGAAACCAGCAATGCCTTGGCCACCCCAAGTGGCCCCATCAGAAGGAGTCAGTGAGAGCTGGGGGAGGGGGGAAACCCAGGCATTGTTCTCCCTTCTTAGAAGCTAGGGCCAGAGATGTCTCCTCACTCCTGTTTGGCCGTCCTGGGCTTAGGGACAAGGGCGACAGGGTGACAGAAGTCCTTCGGGAACAGTGAGTCCAACCTCTCCATTCTATAGATAGGGAAACTGAGGCCGGGGGAGGGGTGGGGCAAGTCTGAGCAAGCGAGGATGGAGGGTGGATCCTGGATCCCAAACTTGGCAGTCTGGGCCGGCAAATAAACCTTATTAGCTTCACTTCCGTTAAACAGATGGGGAAACTGAGGCCAAGAGAGGGACGGGGACCTGCTCAAGGTCACTCATGGAGTCAGGGCGTAGAGTCTGGATTGGTTCCTCCTGGGACTCTCGTCCTCACCATTATTATTGTTTGTTATTTCTGTTTCACAGGTGCTGGGAGAGGGGCCGGGCCTTCCCCCCGTCCCCCCGAGCGAGCCGCGAGGGGGTAAGCAGGGTCTCGCTCCCCTCTCCTGCCGTTCTCCCGCACCGCGCCGGGCGCACCGCTCGCTCACCCGGGCCCTGGGCCACGACGCGCACCAGGCGCTGCACGGACTCCAGCAGCCGGCGCTGCTCCCGCTGCACGAGACTGGAGTTGCCGCTGGCGGCGCGCAGGCTGCGCTCGAGGCCGGCGAGGGCGCCACTCTGGCGGCCCAGCAGACGCCGCAGCCGCTCCTTCTCGCCGCGGAGAGAAGCCAGCTCCGCCTGCTGCTGCGTCTCCAGGGCCTGCACCCGCGTCTCCAGCGCGCTGCGGGGCGGGGGGCGCACGCGCGTCAGCCCGCGGTCTCCACCACGCAGCCACACTCGCGCGCTTGCCCCTGGGACCCCCGGGGGGGGGGACACTCCGCGGACCAGATCCGCACCGAGGCCCAGAGAGGTCGAGCGTCCTGCCCTGGGTTACACAGCTGTGCCCACCGATGGCAGAGAGTGAGGAGGGGAGGAAAGAGAGACCCCGCCCTGAAGAAGATGGACTGGGGTCCATAGAAGAAAGAGGTGCGGGTGGGAGGACATGCCAGCAACCGGGTCGTGGTTACCAAATCCCCAGTATGCCTGCCCTTTGACCTAGCAGTCGGCTCTCCGGAGATAACCTCCAGGGAGCAGGCGCGAGAGTGCCCCTGGGGGGACTGGTTCTGCTAGAGAGAAAGGAAACAGCCTAAATGTCCAACAGCCGGAGCTGGCCGAGGCTGTTTTCTTTCCGTGTCCCTAGAAATGTTCTGGAGCCGCAAGAGGAAGGAGGCAGAGCGCATCTGCACGCATTTGGCAAGACGCCCAGGACGTGGAGTGAACTGCGCTGGCACATCGGTGCCTCTAGTCCAGTCCCACGCGTGGGAAGACAGAACAAGAGAAAGAAGAAAGGTATTAATGGAAATGGAGAGGGAAGCCGGTGAACTGCTAGGAAAAGGCATGGAAAGACACGTGGAAGGACACGGCGGTGCCTGCGCTCGAAGAGAAAGTGAAAGACAGCTGGCTAAGTGCTGTTCCCCCTGCGGAGCCGGTTCCGGAGGAGGAGGGCGATGGAGAGGGAGGAAGATGGAGGCAGCTGGAGGGAACCCACTTTCCCTTTCGTTTTATAGGTCCTTGTTGTCTGGTGATATAATAAACATGGAGCATATTTGTCATGAGTTTTTTAGAAAAAGAGTTTTAGAAAAAGCAAAAAGTTCTAAAACTCAACTCTTCCACTTTTGGCATTTTATCCTGGTTTGCTCCCCGCGTGTGTGCAATGGGGTATGGGGACATTATTAGGGGCTTCTCGTTGAACAGGAGTAAAAGACAGGAAACAACCTTAATATACATTAATTGGGGACTGGGGATATAAGTGTGGGCAGCCATAGGGTGGAACATGACACAGTTAAAGAATGGGCAAGTGTGTCATGCAATTATAGAACAGTTTCTTGGAAAAAAGAGGTGCAGAAGAGCAGTAAGCTCCATTTGGGTTCAAGAAGGGCAACAAAAGGATATGCACACATTTGTTTACATATTCATAGGAAACCCTCAAATGTTAGCTTATAGAATGTATGCTGTGGGGTAGGGATTTTTATCTATGTGTTCACTTCTGTAACCCCAGTTTCTAGAACAGTGTCTGACCTGTGCTAAGAGCTCAAAAAACAATTGTTGGTTGAATGAATGGAAGAGGACAAGACACTAGGAAGAGGGGTTACCTCTGCTGTGGGTGGGTGGGTGGCTGAGGGATAGAGTAAGAGGGAGACAGTCTCCTATCTATGAGGTTACGCCGACCCATTCTCCAGACTAGAACAACGAGTCTAGCCAGGGCAGAAGGAATTTCCCCTGAGCCCCGAGTTCTGCTGCAGGAAGAAAAAAAACTGGGGCACACTCGGATTCTAGAATCTTAGCGATCTCCATGGGCCAAGCGCTTATTGATGACATCCTCCGTCTTCACTGACTTCGAGGCACCTGGTGCCAATTCAGACAGTCCCAGTCCCTGCCCTTGCCCACCTCGGGGTGGGAGCATAAGAATGAGAAGGTGGACAAACTATCATGAGCTACACGCAGATCAGAGGGAGCTAGATGGGCCTGACGGCCTTATCTTGACCCAGAATTTGAGCAACAATAACATCTCCCCCTGCACACGGGTCCGTGGCCACTTCAGTGGGTGGGTGTTGCCTCCTCCAGCATCCTGACCTTGACAGTTTTTCTCTACTCAGCTCGAAACCAAGATGAAATCAGCCTCAGATGTCCATTTCTCTGCCTTATCTGTACCCCATGACTCTTTTATTCTTTGTAATTTGCAGGGTGTTCCCCTCAAGTGTATTTGCTTACAAATGCCGAGACTCTCTGCCGGTGAAGACGAGAAGCTGGCAGTGTGGTTGCTTCTGGGAAGGGAACCAGTGGATAAGATCAGATTTACTTATTTACAAATAAGTAAATCAAATAAAAATTTACAGGGTGAATTGTACAGCATGTAAACTGTAGCTCAATAAAGCTGTTAAACATTTATAAAATAAAGAAACAAAGGGGGGGTGCCTGGGTGGCTCAGTCGTTAAGCGTCTGCCCTGGGCTCAGGTCATGGTCCCAGGGTCCTGGGATTGAGCCCCGCATTGGGCTCCCTGCTCCGCGGGAAGTCTGCTTCTCCCTCTCCCACTCCCCCTGCTTGTTGTGTTCCCTCTCTCTCTGTGTCTCTCTCTGTCAAATAAATAAAATAAAATAAAATAAAAACCAAAAAAAGAAGAAAGAAAGAAAGAAAGGAAGGAAGGAAGAAGGAAAGGAAAAAGAAAGAACAGAGAAAGAATTGGGGTGTCCTGAGCCCCCGGGGAAATGTCTGTCTCCTGTCTCCACCCAGGGGTGCCTGTTTGGCCCCCAGCCCCACCCCAGGGCCCACCTTCACTCCCAGCTTGAGTCTGGGACCAAGCCCTGGTTTCAGTCCTTACCCCAGCACTGGCAGTACCTGAGCCCCCCAAATGGTCCTTCACTTCAGTCCTAATCCGGGCCCGCAGCTCTGGCTCCAGGCCCCGTCCCAGGTACCAGCCCCAGTCTAGTTTCCAACCCTGGCCCCAGCCCCAGCCCAACCCTGGCTCTGGGCGCCCCCCCACCGGCCTGGGTCCCACCTGCCTTGGGTCCCAGCCCTGGCCTGGTGCCAGGGTGCCAGTGCCCACCTGTTGCGGCCCTGCAGCCTGTGGAGCTCATGGCCCTGCAGTAGCAGCTGTTTCTCCAGCTTGTTGGTGGACAGCGAGGTCTCCAGCAGCTGGATCTCCATTCGGGATGTCTGGTTCAGGACCTGTCCCAGCAAACAGGAAGGGGAAGGGCGCGACGCAGACCCTGCAGGAGCCCCGATCAGCAGCCGCCCACCTGTCCAGGGGCTCTGCCATCCAGCAGCGTGCTGACCTATTTCCCTCCTCCCAGCAGTTAGTTCCTATAGTCGTCCATTCATGCCTTTACGCACCCACTCACAGGCCCTAGCTGAGTTGATGATCTGCTTCTTGACAGCAGTTCCATTTCTCCTGTTGCTCAGGCCCCAGGAGGGGTCCCCCTTGACCACCTCCCTCCCGCCCCAATCCAACCTACCAGCAGGTCCTGTCAGATCCAGCTTCCAAATGGGCACCTGACCACCCTCCCCTACTCCAAGGCCCCCACTCTTGGCCTCTGTCATTTCTTGCCCTGTGCCCTGTGCCACCCTCCTCACAGGGCTCCCTGTCCCCACCCTTGTTCCCTACACTCCTTCCTCTGCTAAGCAGTCCAAGGCAGCCTTTTAAACTGTGGCCCATCTGCTCAGAATCATCCTGTGGCTCCCACTGCACGCAGCGGAAAAGTCGCAGTCCTCGCCACGGCCTGCAACGCCCTGTGATGTCCTCTGCCCACATTGTCTCTGGGATCCCTTGCCCACCCCTTGCCCCCGCTCTCTCTCTGGCTACACCGACCTCCTGGATGTTCCTGGAGCTTGCCAGCGCGGTCCCGCTGCTGGGCCTTGGCCCATGCTGTTCTCCTTGTTCTGGAAGGCCCTCCTGGTGAGCCTGGCTCGGACCCTACCTTCTCCGCAGTGCCCTCCTGGCCTCCCTGTCCAAACTTGCAAGCCATCCCTTCACTGCTCCTAGCACACACTCCCTCCCTCCTGTCTGTGTCTTTTTCTCCTGAGACCCTCATCCTCTCACATGTGCAGGTTATTTATCCTGTTCGTTCTCCTGGCGGTCATTAGAAAGGATGATGCACAAGCGTGGGGGGTGCATGCCTGTTTCACTTACTGCTCTGAACTAGAACCAGGAACCTCCCGCGGTGCCTGGCACATAGTAGGGTTTCAACAGACACGTGCCTATTTGTTGTTCAATCTTTTCCTCCTTTCATTTACTCACCCTCCTGTTTATCCATCCATTCCCTCCCTCCCTCCCCTTCTGTTGCCCCGTCTCAGAGTTGCTGGCCCCGTGAGGTTGAATGAATTCTTTATGATCCATCTCTCCCTGTAGCCCTTGGAACCCCCTGAGTGCTGCTCGCCCCTCTCATCCCAGTGCCCAGCACAGACCCAGAGTCACTGGAGTCACAGAGACAGGAGAACCAGGCCCAGGGCCCACCCCCAGGGGCATGGCCTGGTGGTCAGTGACGTTCTGCGACAGGGTCATCAGGGAAGGGCCCCAGGGTGCTACAGGCCCAGACTTTACCCAGGGACAGAGGTCAAGGCTGGCCACAGCCCTTCCCCTTTCCCTCCCCGCCAGTGCCACCTACTTGGCCTCCGTACCTGAGCCTCCACATCAGTCAGCTTGCGGGTCTGGGCGGTGGTCTGGTTCAAGAGGCTGGTGCCTAGCTCCAGCATGGTGGCCGTCTGGTTCTGGACCATGTGCTGTTGGACCTGTGCCAGCTCTGATCTCAAGTTCATCTGGATGTACCTTTCTAGCTGTGGGGAGACCGTGGACTGGGGTCACGGGTAGGGGCTGGAGGAAGGCTCCTGTCTCTTCCTGTGTCTTCATGAAGGACATAGAGCAGCGAGCACAGGCCTCCCTGCCAGCCCAGGCCACCATTACCTCTCACCTGGACTATTCCAGTAGCTTCCTCCCTGGCTTCTCTGCCTCCATCCTTGTCCCATGCACAACCCATCCTCCACTCAACAGCCAGAGGGATCTTGTTAAACCTAAGTCAAATCAAATTCCTCCTCTGCTGGAAAGAAACCCTCCCAGAATTCCTACCTTAGAGGAAAAGCCAAAGCCTTTCCTCCATGACCTGGCCTTCTGTTCCCACTCTGATTTCTTCTTCCAGTCCTCTCCCACACTCTGCTCCAGAAGCACTGGCCTCTGTGACATCCCTCCCACACCGCAAGCATACACCTACCTCAGGGCCTTTGCATATGCTCTTCTGGCTGCCTGGAAACTCCCTCCTCCCCGCCCCAACTACATGGCTCACTCCCTCATGTCATTTCAGGTCTCTTCCTACCACTTATCACTCCCTAACTTTGTATTACATATTTATCTGTCTATTGTCCATTTTACCATTAGCATGTCAATTCCATGAAGACAGAGACTGAGTCTTACCCCTTTATCTCTGTATCTAGCACTATGTTTAGTGCCCAGTGGGTACCCAATACATATGTGTACAATGAATTGATGGAAAAGGGGGGAGCAGCAAGGGTCGGAGAATAGCCCCCAGTGTCATGCCCATTACAAGAGTTTGCAGGTCTATCCACCCAGCTGGACTTTCTATTTTCCATCCCCCTCCATCCGCCAAGCGGGCTGAACAGGACAGTCTCCAAGGGTTCTTTCAGCTCAGATGTTCTGGGATCCCACGAGCTAACATTCATATCTTTGACAGGGTTGCTCTTTCCCAAGAGCAGTTGAAGCTGGTCTGGCATGAGACCAGGGTCAAGCTGCAAAGGTGAACAGTGTGTTCTCAGGGCTCAGTGCCCACAGGCAGAGAGCCGGTGCCCCTCCCCCGCTCCCTCTCCATTCTGCACACATGCTGGCCTCTGGCCATCACCCCACTGCCTGGCCCTGGCTCCTTCTCTTGCCCTCTTGCTCAGTCTTCCAGGAGGTCTGACAGACAGGGCAGCTCCCAGGGTCCCTGGGAAGACTGGCGCTCCCCAGGGAGAGGTGGTGACCTTGGCTGAAGGGCCAGGCTCTGGTTGTTTCCTCCTTGGTCTTTTCTCCCTTTTGCCATCTTTTTTTTAAAAAAAGATTTATTTATTTTAGAGAGAGGGAGCACAAGCCGGTGGGGCAGAGGCAGAGGGAGAGAGAATCTCAGGCGGACTCTGCACTGAGTGTGGAGCCTGACATGGGGCTCGAGGTGGGGCTCCATTTCAGGACCCTGAGATCACGATCTGAGCCAAAACTAACAGTCAGAGTTTAATGGATTGTGCCACCCGGGCACCCCTCCCTTTTTCTGTCTTAAGAGTCAGCTCCTGGGCGCCTGGGTGGCTCAGTTGGTTAAGCAACTGCCTTCGGCTCAGGTCATGATCCCGGAGTCCCGGGATCGAGTCCCGCATCAGGCTCCCTGCTCGGCGGGGAGTCTGCTTCTCCCTCTAACCCTACCCCCTCTTGCGCTCTCTCTCTCACTCTCTCTCTCTCAAATAAATAAATAAATAAAATCTTAAAAAAAAAAAAAGAGTCAGCTCCCATCCCTTCCTCCCACCCCTGCTTTTGGAAAGAGTGTGTGCCCGTGTAGTGCAACATCAGATCCCGGAGGGGGCACATGTGGGTGGTGCCGGTATTGACTACAGCAGTGGTTCTCAAAGTGTGTACCCTGCAGCAGCATCACGGGGGAGTTTGTTAAAAATGCAGATTTCTAGGTCCCACCCCCGACCTACTGAATCAGAAATTCTGGGGTGGCGCCCAGCCATCCAGGTGAATTTGATGCTCGCTCAAGTGTGAGAACTCCTGGGGTGGCAGTCACAAAACGGACTGAGGACCAGGGAGACAGGCCCGTTGGAGCTTCTCAAGTCTTTGTCATGAGGGCCTCTTCCTTCCTCCCCTGCACCATCAGCCCTCCGCACCGCTGTCCCCTGTAAGGCACAAACATGCTCCAGCCGCTCCCATCTAAAAACAAATTCTTGAGCCCACAGTCCCTCCAGCTGTGTCTGCAATTTCCCTGATCCTTCAACAGCAAAACTTCAAGTTGCCTCCTGTTTCTCACCTGCATCCCCACCCTCGCCTCTAAAAACATTAACAATATTATTATGGTGTATTGCGTGCATACAAAAAAGTATAAGGAAGGATATAATGAAGTCTGTGTATTTATCACATTCAAGGAAAAAAATATAACACATACTGGAGTGTTTGGGCGGCTCAGTGGGTTGAGCGTCCGGCCCGACTCTTGGTTTTGGCTCAGGTCATGATCTCAGGTTCATGAGATCCGCCCCGGCCAAATCAGGCTCTGCACTCGCAGAGAGTCTACTTCTCCCTCTGCTCTTCCCCCTGTTCACTCTCTCAAATGAATAAATAAATCTTTAAAAAATGTATATATAAACCATACTGTTGAATCCTGTGCTCCCTGGCTTGCCTTCCCAGTCCTGGGGAGCCCGTTCTCTCCTTAATTTGCCTGGTCATTGTCTCCTGGACAAGGAGGCCCAGGGACCCTTCCATGTCCTCTTACTCTCCCCCTCAGCAGCACTCAGTGCAGATGGCCACTCTCGAATTCTGGAAGCACTTCCCAGATGTTCCTTCTCCTAGTTGTCCTCCTACCTGTTGTCACCCCCTCTGGCTCCTGCTTTATCAGGGTCCTACATGTCAGGGAGCTCCTGGCCCAGTTCTGGGCCTTTGTCTCTCTGTACGTTCTCTCCCTAGGTCAAGGGTCCTTAGTGGGGACCACAGGGTCTGCAAAGAGAATTCAGGGGGTCCATGAACTTGGGTGAGAAAAAACTCTTTTGTTTGCTAACTTATAAGTAAAGTTTGGCATTTCCTTCCATTATGAGTGTAGACCACAAACCATAGCACTATTAGCTGATCCTGCAACTTCATTACCAATAGAAATCACCAATATTTCCATACAACAGTGCAAATGTTGTAGCATCTTTTTTTTTTTTTAAGATTTTTTTATTTATTCATTCGAGACACAGAGATACAGAGAGAGAGAGAGAGCATGAGCAGGGGGAGAAGCAGAGGGAGGGGGAGGAGAAGCAGACTCCCCACCAAGCAGGGAGCCCGATGCAGGGCTCGATCTCAGGACCCTGGGATCATGACCTGAGCCGAAGGCAGATGCCCAAACATCTGAGCCACCCAGGCGCCCCATGTAGCATCTTTTTAAAAAAAGATTTTATTTACTTATTTGAGAGAGAGAGAGACCGCATGAACGATGGGGGCGGTGACAGAGGGAGAAGGAGAAGAGAGACTCCCCGCTGAGCAGGGACCCCCCGACGGAAGGCTCCATCCCAGGACTCTGAGATCATGACCAGAGCCAACGTCAGGTGCTTGACCAACTGAGTCACCCAGGCACCCCCGTCACAGCATCTTAAATACTGGTTTTACTCATCATGACCTCAGAAGGATGGACATTCTCAAACCCACCACTGGATAACGCTCCCACTAGAGCACAGATGTGATATTTACTATTTTGATTACAATGGGAGCATCGCTGGGTGTTCTTAGGCTTTTATTTTACACATTTAGAAGTGTTGCTCTGAAAACGAATTTATTAGCTTCACCCAGGACCAGATGCCAAAGTGTTCAGGGCCCCAAATGCATCAGGGGCCCTGCTGCAGGTGCTCCTGTTGGTCCTACGACTGTCACGTGCTGAGAGTACCGGGTCCGCCTCCCACCACACTCTTCCCCTCAATGTGCCACCCACTCGCCATCCCCACGTGGGTTTCCAACAAGCATCTCAGGCAAAAATATCCAACGTGGAACTTTTGGTTCCTCAGCACCCACTGCCCTGTCTCTGCATCCCCACCTCACTCCCCCATCTTTCCCATCTCAGCAAATGACCCCACACCCAGACCTCATCCTTGATGCTTCTCTTTTCCTCACCTGCTGCACTCAATCCTCTAGGGAGTTCTGGCCACTACGATCCCAATGCAAGTTTCGAATCTGCTCCCTTCCCTGCACCCTGGGCCAGGTTCCTGTCATCCCCACGGGTCGGCTTCAGGTTCACTCCCCACCACGCCTCCGACGGCTCCCTGGGGTTGCTAATGTGAGGCTGCTGGGGCGCCCCAGGGGGGATAGGGGAAGCAGAGCTATACGGAGGCTGCTCTCACCCTTCCCACGAGTCACAGACTTCCTGGAACTTGGTTTAAAATACAGACTCCCAGGCCCCAAGCTTCAGCTCCAGGCAGACAAATAGCAAGTTCAGTCCTGAGATGAGATTTTCTCATGCATCTCCCCCAAGCCTCTCATTGGCAGATGAACAAACTGAGGCCCGGAAGACTTGTGCAAGGTCACCACCTGGGGGGCTAGTTTCCACGACTCCTTGCCCAGGGACTTCTTCAGGTTTGCAGAGCTGGGCTGGGGACTCAGGGTAGCTCAGGGGTCATCTTAAGTGACAGGAGTTCCCTAAGTACCCGCATTGGTCCCCCACTTGTCCTGTGGCTGCGACTGGCTGGGTGGCGCCCAGGCCACCCACAGCTGGGGCCCATCACGCAATTTGCCACACCCGCCCACCAGCATGGGTCCTGGGATGGGTAATTTGGGCCAGATGGGCCCATCTTGGACATGCTGGGCTCTGGTGAGTAATGTTGGCCTGCGTGGTGGGGTCTGGGTCTGGTCCAGGGTTCAGGCACAGGCTGGAAGGATGGGGGAAGGGTCCTAATGAAGGAGAGATGAGCCCAGGATGAGATCTGCCACAGCATAGGATTGGATCTGTCCCTTCTCTGTCACCCTCATGCTGGCAGATTCTCAGGGTTGAGATGGAGGACAAGGGTCTGACCTGCCATCACCTCTCCAGCCTGCAAAGAAGCTGGTCTTTGGCCTTGGGGCT